CTACGGCTCCCAAAACTTCACCCCCTACGGATACTGTACGGACCGATGAGAGGTCTCCTACGTACGGCTTACGTACGTCGTATCACCGTACAGTACCTCACCGTACTACTGTACGATGGGAACGCTGTGGCGACTCGTCAACAGAACTTTTTCAGCTCTCACCTACGCACGATGTCTTTACAGCCTCAACCTTTAGCAAAGACTACACTTACTTCTCTAAATCACCAACTTACCCCGCCGGTGTCGGTCTAGGTACCCCTATTCCCACGCAATCAGCTTCCTCGTCGCAGTTTTCTCACTCTCCCTTCCGTCCTGGCCCGGTTTCCTTGCATCTTGACGATGCGCTTGAGTTTGGTATCTTCACGCATCTTTCCGAGGGTGGCGGCTCCTTCCATCCAAGCAAGCAACCCGGAAGGAAGAAGAAGGATTGGCAGGATCGCTTCGAGATTGAGAGTTTGGAGGTTTGGGGCTGTGGTGGGGACGAGGTTGCAGAACAACAAAGGAAAGAGTGGGCGTGGCAAGAGCGCGAGGCGGAGGCTAGACGGAGGATCAATCTTGGGACTGGAGACGCAGAAATGGACCGAGAGTTGTTGAAGATGGCGGGTATCATCTCTGGTGACAGGAGTGGAGGCAGTATGGGATAAGTGGCCATAATGGTATCAATCACGATGTAATGACATACATAACTTCGATGTCTTGAGTAGATTCCATTTGCTGCAGTAGCTGAGTGTTTGTTCCAAATTGCTGTTGTACCCGTCTAAACGCCTGTAATGCCTTTGTATGCATACATATGATACAGCTCCTCCTCCTTTCGGGTTGTCGCTCTCCATCAACCCATCACTCAAGATATTCCCAAATTCCTCTCCTAGCCTCACAAGTATCCACAAACGTATCTATCCTTGCCTACGCGGTGTTAGCATACTCCAATCGTCACTCCCCCACCGTGTCCACCCCGGACCAAACTCACCTCTGCTTATGCTTAGGATTCTTCGAACAGATGATGTACACATATCGCCCCTTCTTCCTCCTTACGCTCTTACATCCATCACACAGCTTCTTGACCGAACTCCGCACCTTCATGCCGCGCGTTTGTATCCGTCCACCCATGCTCAAGCCATTGAAGCCGGAGACGAGGTCCCGGATTCCATAGTTCGATTGTTGTGAGGCTTGCGCGCGGAAGGTGGAGAGGGTGGGTCGTACGCAGGAGCATGTTGGTGTGTGGATGTGTTGCGTGCGGGTGCGGAGGGTGGTGCGGAGGGTTTGGGTTGAGCATGGACGTCGAAACGCGGTAGTGAGGGCGCGGGACAGCATGACGGCGACTCGAGAATTCAACAATCGCCGCGGTCGGCCGAAGAGGGTGTGCGATGGAGGCGGTTGTGCGTTCTGGCGTGGGTATGATACCAGTGGAGCGTTGATGGTGTCGCCGCGGAAAATGTATGCCAAGGTGCTAGCGCCCTGGAGCATATCGCGCTTCCTCGATGCATGTCTCTACAACATTACAATCTTGCATTCTTTTTGTCAACATCTGCATGTGCTACGAATTGCAACTACCTGTCACCATGAATACTTCGCATCGCCGAACCCTATTGCAGCATTCGTCCGTCCGCTACCTATCAGGATCCGCGCCCAAATTGAAACCCAGGACCTTCATAACCCTCCATGCCACCAAGACCATTGAAACGACCTCCTCGTGCATGAGGCGGCATCTGCGATTCATATCCGGCCCTGCCGCTGTTTGTATCCTTCTGGCTATGCGAATGCGCTATCTGTGGAGCGTACGTTGCACCGTATCCTTGGAGAGTTACCTGTAGTTGTGGTAGTATTGTTGCGAAATCCACTTCACGTTGTCGCACAAGTGGCAAGGTGAATCGTTGTGTGGGATACTGGCTTTTAGTACGCCTATCGCCAACTGCCCAACGCTCGACTGTACGCAGAATCGCGTCTGCATGCTTGTGAAAATGAATGTTTACAACATCTTTCCAGAAATCGAGTGGATCACGGGCCCAATCCAGTATTGCGTACTTTGTTGTCAAGCTATTAATCATGTTGATGCCGAAAAGGTCTTGATAACCTGCCTTTGGGACATCCGCTGGGATGTGGTCGAGAGGACTAGCGCCGAAGATCATTGCTTGGATACTGATTAGGACTTGAAGGATAGTCGACTCGCCTGGACGCCATTTCTCGCCTGGACGCCATTTCTCGCCTGGCAGATGTCCAATATGAGTACCAAGAAGAGAAAGACACACTACAACGAAATCAACACATGATCGAAACCAGGAATCGCAGCAGGCTTACCTACTCCATCCATGTGGAGATAGGGATTGAACCAGACTTCGGCACCTTGCGCACCGCGAAAGAACATTCGTGGTGGTTTATACGGGAACTCGGCTGTACACCAGAGATCAAACTCAAAAAGCCCGTTCTCATATGGCGTGCCTTCGGGACCTGCAATAAGAATCCTACAAGAATCAATCACCAGCTCAGACGGCAACAAGTTTTCAAACCACTTACTTTATCACATCAAGTCTGGACATGCCGTGTTTGACATATATGCCAGAAGACAGCCCTGTCTTCAGTGTCGTTATCTCGGTAATGAGTCGTTTGATACGACCCCTTGGTGATTGAATGAACATCTGTGCTTCCCTCGCAAAATGGAAAATGGGCCAGATCTGGTCGTCCGGTACTTCAATAATGCCATGATCAATTGGTCCTGCGTGGCCGTCTCCAATCTGGAGGTACTGGGAAAGGTCAGAGATCTCACGGCAGAGCCATAACAGGTCCGTACTCTGCTCATCCTGAAACTCGTGCCGTGACCTCTGGGCACCACTCAGCATGACCTGGCTTTGAATGTTCAGATTACGAAGATTGTTGGCGAGTGCAGAGACCTTTTCCCCGGACACGTTTCCTGGGAGACCTTGGAAAGACAGCGTTAGGAGATTGATAGTGTCCGGCAACACAACGCGCTCATTGAACATGACAGCCTTTTTCGATAGTTCATGAACTCCGACGTTGCGGAGAAAACCAAAGAACGCCATGTAGAGGTTCTTTCTCTTGGTCACATTGTCTAAGCTGTCGTTTCTGAGTAGCTCCGCGGCCTTATCGAGGACCTTGCTGTTAACCAACATCGACAAGACGGCCTTGGGTGGGTCTACATCGAAGCGCGTGGTGTTTGGGTTGTTCTGATCGGGACTGGGATATAATACTGCGAGGAAGGCGAACAGATTCTCGTAAAACCTGTCTTTTTGCCTTTCCGCGTCCAAAGCTCGGTGTCTATCTTGGCCAGCAAATTCCCTACTACTACGCTTTTCTGTCGTGCTCATGTGACCTCGGGCGAATCCTGTACCCTTGTCGACAGTTCTGTTAATATTGGTCTTCGTTATTGCATCGCTCCTCTTGGCCTGGCAGTATTCTCGATCGAATCCACAAAGCATCATCCAAATGGTGAAAAGTCGCCCACGGCTGCAGCAACACACTATCTTGGTGCCATTGACTGGTATTTCCAGTGCCTTGTACTTGTTGAAGCAGGCGATGCAACAGGCTCTCGAGCACTTGCTGCACTTGACCTGCGAACTGATCGTTGCTGTGACCGTCAATCTCTAACACCTGGTTATGGAGGCCTTCGAGATTACCTTGTCCACTGAGCCAGCTCCGGAATAGTGTTTTAATGCCACCGCTGTCGTGTATAAATTTGGCATTGCACTTTTGGCATTTTCTGTCAAAGACATAGTCGGCAAAATCACTATAGGTGTTAAACTCGATTGCGTTAGCATTTGTAGGTACGTTGCACACTGGTGCTGTTTGCCGTCAACTTTTGTCGTTTTCTCGGTACATGATCGTTACTAACCTGAATTTTGGCAGCTCATTTTTTCGTTTCGTGAGGCACGTATATGTAAGTGTACCGATCAATGGGACAAGTGCAGAAGGAGTATTTGAGCTCCAAATGACGAAGCTGGCAGAAGGTATATGTGTTAGCTACATGGAAGAGCACTGCGCTTCACTTTCCAAATGTCACAATACCGGAAGGTGTATATCATCTCTGCCTGCACTCCCTATCAATCCTTCTGTATAAATAGCTTTCCAATTCAAGTGTTCAACATGCAACGATGAGGCAGTCAACGAGATTTTATCTAGTGACAGGATCTCTTCACACCATCCCCTTCCTTCGTCTCTCCAGATCCATCGAACTCCTCGTGACTCCGGCGACGAGGAGATACTTGGGTCTCCGGTCCGGCCAGCGACACCACTCTCATCTCCTCCGCTCTGCCACTGACAACCATTGGCATATCGATGTTTGCTGCTGACTGTTTAGAAGGCTCCACCGCTTCGGGAGTTATCTCTCGCATTGCTTGTTCCACGTCTTCGTCTTCAAACTCATGTGACGTAGCGTCGCCCCTCGTCTCGTCTGTTTCCCTTGCTTCTGTTTGCTTCTGCCAACTAAACAAGAACACTGGTCGCTGAATACTCAACCTCGTGATCTGACCGGGTAATCTCTTCTGGCTCAGGATCTCCTTGCCTGTGTGTATGAGGTCGTCTTTTTCGTCATCGGAGTCGCTTTCGTCACTCCAGTCATCCTCCATCCCCTCTACCTCTTCCCCAAAGACTATGTTCATGCCATCATCTGTCAAGTCCTTTCCGCGTATTTGAAGCATTTCGTTAGCATAATTGTTCCACTTCTTTCTATGTTCTTCCGCTTCTTCGTCTTCATCTTGTGTGCCACCGAGACGATCGTAGTTGCAATCGCTCATGAAGCTTGTGTCGACCCATACGCTACCTGGTGGACTGGCGTGTTCACCCGGTGTATACGAAGGAGAGGATCGCTGGTAGTATGTTGATCGTCGTGATGAAGGTGGCGGAAGGTCGTCGGGAAAGTATACTCCAAACATAGGAGGAGAATGTAGATGAAGCTGGGACAGAGTTTGAGGTGGGGAGCATGGTGTTATCGATGATGGTGGTAGAGCGTAGATGCTCGAATCTGAGGAGGCTGATGGGGAGTATTGTGTAAGGGTCGATTTGTTGGGGGGAGATAAGATTATATTCGCTCCGTTGGTACCATTCTCATTCTGTTTGTCTGACTCTAACCCATCAGAGACCCCATCCAGGTACCACGATGTTTCTTGTTCCGGCTTGGGCGAACTAGGTGGAGAACGCGGGGTCTCGTTTTCCTTATCCCCAGTAGCAGAGGTTCCTTGCGACTCGCCTCCGACGCAACACCTTTTTGAGCGCCTCTTTGGTACAAAGAACTCGCTCCATCCTTCCGCAAGGAATGGGGTTAGTATCGCGAGATCCAGCGCTTTCATGCAGCTACTAGATCCCATCACTGACGCTGGAATTGCCAAGCCGGTTTGCAGAGAGTCTTCCTCCCATGATACCTCTTCTTTTGCGTACCGCTCGTACACGTCCACCAGACTAGCCCATCGAACTTTCTCAACATGCCAAATTCGCTTAGCTGCATGGTAAATATGAGACAATTCTGGGTCTCCGGAGCTATAAGGCTTCAAGGGTCCACCGACAAGGCGCCAGACATGTGCAATCCGATCAAGGGAGGCGATACACTGAGTAATGAGGCACCCCGGGCAGACATCGCCCATCCAAGGGTTGCCGGGATGGACAGGGTGCTTACAGAAGCGTGTGGTAAGTAGATCTAGGGATTCCTCTTCCATTTCCCCCTTGTCTTCGCCGTCTTCGACAGTCGAACAATCTCCTACATCTTGCATGTAAAGCTGTTCCTTGACCTGTTTCGTATTCATGAAGGTCTTGAATGTATGCGCACTGGGTATTCCTCCCACTTCCTGGTTTCGCACCGCTTGTACTGTTCTTTTCCATACTGCTTTTGACGGGTAAAGCGTTGCTTGGTTGGGATTCTCGATACTGGTTTGCCAATTGATGTAAAGTGAGTAAAGTTTCGGTCCAAAGATTCCAAGGGCAGCTCTGTCGGAGGTGAGGGATCGGCTCGGAGCGGCGGTGCAGTGAAGAGAGTGAGTAGCGGTCGGAGTTGAGGACATAATGATATTACGTGTATATTCCAGATGCGTGGTGGGTGAGCGGACAGAGCAGCCACGTAAGAAGAGTCCTTCCGTGAGGCGCGATTGATCGCGATTTGGGTAATAGCTCAGTCAATAGTTCTTTCACTCGATCTTGAATCGTGCCTGTTAACTCTCACCTCGTACCTTCTTCTGGGTTTTATTTTCTTTGATGACTTGGTCTGCCCTAACAGAGTTGAGTCCAGGAAACACTCCGCACATTTAACACTGTCATATCTTTGTTTCGCGACAAACCGACGTGATGAATCACTCATATTCACCGCAATACCAAAGACATGGAAACAAGAAGGCTCTCTCAAATGAGACATCGCAACCGTATCAAAATCCCAAGCAATATGCCAGAATAGTTTGTGGCAAATAACATGAACATAACACTCCGTGGATGTACGAGCGCTTGGTTGTGAAGTCTGGATAGAAAGGAATAATGCTTTGAACTCCTCTGTTCGAGGGAATCGTGAAAACCCCAGATTATTGATACTGGAAGGAAACGCCCCTGGTGTGGAGTCGGCGCTGAACGAAAGAGAAAGCATGATTAAGGCTCATGGTAGCGAAGATAGTGGGGCCAAAGCTCGCAAAAGAATAATGCCCAGCCGCTGATAGTCCCAGACGATAGTAGCTTGATTCGGTGTTGAATCCTGTAGATTGCTCCAGAAGTCACAGACAGATACGACTGGAGTTGTGTCAGTAATGGCAGTCGTGAAGATAGCATTGGTTGCGAAGGATTTGCGTATAGATAGATGTAGTCGGGTTATCTAGATCAGTGGTCGCGTGTTAGTGACCGTGCCGCAGGGTATTCGAATCAAGACCTGCATAATGTAATGTAGCTCGCATGCAAGCTATCTATGCCGACCAAATCTAAAACGGACAATGCCCAATGCCAGCAATCAATGGTTTCAAGAGAACTGCTCGATGCAGTAACCCACGATGAGATGGAGGAGGACCCAGAACCCGACGGTGAGGTTTTTGTGGATATATGTTGTGCGTCGCTTCCGTGTAATGCTAGGGCCCGTTCCAAGGTCCATGTATCCATGGATTTTACCATTGTCTATTCTAGGACTAGCGGGTGGCTCCAGTGGCTGGGGTGGCGGCCGGGGATGGCATGCTGTTGGCTGACAATGCAAAGTTATGCTGTGAGACGAGTGCCCTGTCGTCGTGGTATGCGAGCCAAGTCTAAAGCTTGCAGAAGATGAAGTTGCTTGTGGAAGGAAGGCCGGGTTGATGATTGTGATGGAATAGGCCGGGCCAGCCAGTCAGGACGGTTCGGGGGAAGCCGCTGGGCTTGCTTGACGCAACACAACGGCTGCAGTCCACCAGCGCTCGTTGATAGCCAAGGCAGATGAGTTCGACAGCTGCTCTACGAACAACACTGACCTAGATCATGTGGGTACCAATGCTATGTCAATCTCAGCCTGAGATCATCTCATAAATAAGCTTGCAGGCGGCGCATGTCTGGTCCACTTGCATGCTCTACGAACGCGTGAACGGCTCCACCGCGAAATTAGAGAGCAGCACAAAGACAACGCACTGATAATCTCATATCTCATCTACCAATGTCAATTCCATCTTGAAGATCTACCAAGAACACAGTCGGTGCAAGGTAATCGAACAGACAGGCGAATGACTAAGCGATGGTACCGAGATGGCCGATGCTCGGACTTGAAGATGCAGGCTGCCCTACCCATCCCGTCAAGAGCGACCTCCTCCCAACTGTCCCATATCGCTAGATCGCACGATCCCTGGATAGCTCAACAGCGATTTCGGCGCATTCAAGAATGTGATATATGCTATTGCCGAAATAAAGCGACTGTTATGCCCAGCTAACTCCGCAACTAACCTAGGCTGCAGCTACGACTGGACATATACGAACACGCCTGCCCTCAGTTGCTGGTCCTATCCATTGCATACTCATTAGATCGGCAACCAACCCTCGCAACGGTTATTCCAATTTCCGATAATGTCCGGACCATACCTCCACGGCCATCATGCCTCCGTCCTCCGTTCTCATAGCTGGCGTACAGTCGAGAACTCCTGTCCTCACCTCCTCCCTTACCTCAACAACCCTTCGCTCAAGATCCTCGATGTAGGCTGCGGGCCAGGCACCATCAGCGTTGATCTTGCTACCCGCGTCCCACAAGGCTTCGTCTATGCCATCGATCCCTCTGCAGAAGTGATCGAAAAGGCACAAAAACACGCAGAAGAAAGGGGCGTCACAAACATACGATTTGAGGCTGGAGATATCTTTGAATGGGACAAACTTGACGGCGTAGAGGAAGGAGGCTTCGATGTCGTGCACGCACATCAAGTGCTGCAACACCTACAAGATCCGCTGGGTGCGATGAAGGAGATGAAGCGGTTGACCAAGTCAGGCGGCGTCGTTGCAGTTCGAGATTGCAACTACAGCGCTATGGACTGGTACCCAGAGCATCCAGGCATGCAGAAGTGGAAAGATCTATACATCAAGATCGCATTTGGATTGAAGGCACATCCCAATATGGGCAAGTATCTGCATGCGATAGCCATGCAAGCAGGGTTTCCAAGAGGCGATATCGAGGCTAGCGTAGCGGCCTGGACGTTCAGCACGCCGGAAGAGAGGGAGTTCTGGTGCGGACTCTGGGCCGATAGGACTGTTAAGAGTGACTATAAACAAAGGGCTCTAGACAGCGGATACGCGACCGAGCAGGATCTGGAAGAAATTGCAGCGACGTGGAGAGAGATGGAGAAAAAGGAAGACGGATGGTTCGCCGTTATCAACGGACAGATCATATGCCACGTTAGGTAGGGTTTATAGGTAATCAGGCACCTGTATTGTCCTTCCTCTCGGTCATTCTTTTCGCCTCGCGCCTCGTACCTTCCTATCAGACAAGATCCTTAGTACTTGGCCCCGCACGTCTACGTTACACTCATCCCACGCTTTTCACGTACCTCCAATCGCAAGACCCACCGCACTTACCGCGTACCAGTCATCTGACGGCTTATGCACTAGCTGCTTAGGCCTATCGTAGCTGCCTGTAGCTACCTGAGCTCTCTATATCAACCCCACTTTACCCCTCCAACTTCGAACAGCTATCAGCGCATTTCACGATACTACCAACATTGCATTCTCCTACGATACTAAACAAAACCGATATTTAAAAACCAATATGCAGTCCACAACCGTCCTTGTCAACTTCCACGGCGACTGCCCAAAGTGCGGCGCCGGCATCAGTGGCGACGCCAAGACCTGTGGATCTTGCGGCAGCGTAAGACGCTTGAAGGAGTCTTTACGACTAGAATATCGCTAATCACCATCGCAGTCTTGCCCAGTCTAGATTGATGATGCTTTTGAGTGGGTCGGCATAGTTTGTGAGGCTGGATACAGGGGATACCCAAAGGCTGGACATGCACGGCGTTGATATGGGAGGCGATGCTGTTTCAGATTACGAGAAGAGGAGCTTGGACAGCAGTTGGCATGCCTAGTGAGTGATCGAATGAAGCCGTTCATCGTGGTATATCTGTTTCTCATTTCTCCTGACTGAATCTTGTTATATGTGCTATACCTGTTTCCTGTACACCCCTCTGGGAGGCTTAGCAGATATGTCTAGTGGAAAAGACGTCGCACAATCACACCATGGATGAACGCATCTCAGGTATGCACACATCAGTCAAATTGTTCCGTGCGATAACTTCCTTTGTGGTACTGATGACTTGCCATGTATAGTACGCCTTGACATGTCAAGACAGACGTGCTCTGACTGGAACCGATACCATGGGTATCGCGCTGTCTATGGCGATAGGCTCGTACGGATTATGTACTCTCTCAATCGTCCACCCACCAACTCTCCACCCTCTCTCCGTTCTCAGATAAATTAATGTCCAAACGGCCAGTATTACCGGGACATTCGAAAGCATGACGGCAGTGTTACATGAATAAAGGACACACCGACTCCATGTATCTAAAGAGCCAACTGTGAGCATGTACGAGAAATAGCACCCTTCAAGGTTCAGGATTTCCGGATGATATCCCCCACAGACAACCTCACTGAAGTATGGAGGAATTGAACTACACGAGTACCCTTGTAGTTCAGACGCCATCATCTAGAGCCAAGGAGTCAATAAAGTGGTCTCGAGACGCCTATGGTGCAAGGTCGTCGCATTGAAGAGATGTAAACTTACAGTACCAACAGCCATATTGAGCGACAAAACGCCGCCATCGATGGTGTTTCTGACCCAGGGATGCAAAGAAGTACGGAAGATAGACGTTGAGAGCGCAGCGATCAAGGTTGCTAGGCTCACTCCAGCCGAAAACCCTAGAATAAGTGGAAGAGGGCCGAATTTGTTTCCAGTGATTAAGAGCATGGTAATGATGAAGACAGTGGCACTGAAGATGGCTTGAAATCCACGTGCGATAAGCACGGGAACCGAGGGAGAGATGCGCATCTCGTTGGATAGGTGATTTTCAGCGCAAGGGTTTCAAACATAAAGGTAGATCGACAAGTGAGGCATTGGAGAGAAAGGAAATCAGTCTCGCTTGAAACTGTCTGTCAGAAGGGTGCGCTTTGCACAGCCGGGAGTTAGTTCTCCATTCTTTGCTCCCAAGATTGTGACGCCGCCCACGAAAGCGGAGAACCCCAAACTGGCTGGGAGGCTACCCCAGTGGTGACCGCGTATCAAAGAGACGGAGATCCCGAGTACAACAACACCAAAAAGAGCTTGGAAGCCGCGAACGACGAAGTTGAGAATTGGGTTTGCGATAGCCATGTTGCTTTGCGCGTACAATGAGGTGTGTGCGTGTGTTTGTGTTGATGTATATCCAGTCAGCACGACAACAGTGGTATCAATGTGATTGCGACAAAAAAAACTTTTTCGTCGCGTGTGAGTTGAGCTGAGAGTGGAACGTGAAAAAAAGGTAGGCGAAATGGGTATCACCTCGCTATTTACGCTTGTGCCCCTGTCCGTACATGCACAGCATATACCTATTGGCTTTCCTCGCCTGTGTCACCTTCATGTCTGGCAGAAGCAGTTTCATGTTGCCGTGCGGCGTCCAAGGCAGACACATCGTTGGTACCGCCTTGTATCCATCCTGATATACTGGCTTTTCGGGGCTAATCCTATTATCGTGAAGGGATCTGCAAATACGGTATGGTTGCCTGGATCAATTTTCAGGGTTCTGCCAGCTTTGGAAGAGTAGATAGCCATGAGGCTAGACTTGCATCGTGCCTCTTTTCACCGGTAAAATCTAGGGGCACATCTGTGACTCATAGTAGAGGCTCCAATTGAAGCAATGTGCTGCTATTGTACATACCATTGCTACGATGGCATCATCCTAAGGGGGTGTAGAGCTTCAGACCGCACCGTCCCTATTTTTATCACACCTCGCACAGCAAAACAAGTCGTCACCGTCTCGAAGCGACGCAGTATATTGACGGTCACCAACGGAGGCTGCAATTGTCAATGCGCAAGGCGTCCAGGAATTGGGGGCCAGAACTTCTCACCGCTCAAAATTATACCTGCCTGGAAGTATATCGTGCAAGGTGACAGCTCAAGTGAGGCAAGGTGCATGTAAGGCCTCACCTGTTATCCGGATCTTTGAGTTCGTTGATAAAGTGTCCAAGGTATGCGCAAAGATGTGCTCGTCACAGTACCCCTGTCTGGGGCTGTGCTAGTCTCATCCAATAAGAACGCACCAGCCTTTGGCTTAGCCTCCGAGGTAGCAGTTGCCGTCTTTCCTTAATGTTCCCAACCTATTTCCATGCTAAATCATTGCATATTAGTTGCTATTTTCATAGCTCAACGGCGGTGGCAAGTATCTTGGACAAGCCAGCCAGGAAAACGTCTCGTACCAGAAGTTGAACGTCCATTGCAGAAGTGATAGACGAGTCGCGAGTTGCTGTGGTTGAACAAAACTAAATAATGACGGAGCAAGTAGTATACCCTTGTAGAGTATGGAGGTGCCCGAGCAATTTGACGATAGAGAGTAGGGTTGCTATAGCACCCTGGTATCACCCAAGACTAGAAAGCCCTGTTGGTCCCTAGGGGATATTGCACAAGCAGTGGTGGTAATTCATGAAATTATTAACTATAGTGGGAAGAGACCGAGCTCACTTGTTGAGTCTCGCAGCCCTCTCGGGGTCTCTCCACCAAGCACACTGCTCCATCCTGATAGCTGTGCCCTCGTCCTCCATCATGGCGCCACCCATAGTCGGGGGATTGACCACTAGTTGCCTGCTTCCAGTTCCCTCGTACTGCTCCCAGGTTGCGCTGCCCGGCAAGGCATAAGTGTTCGGATCTCCACTGACAATAAAACTCGCCCAGTAAGCGCTGTACATATCCGCGATCACTGGGTATTGTGTGTTTGCTTGACCGTTAAAGTACGAGGAATCGCTAGCGTGCGGCACGCCCAGGTATGTGGGCGCCCAATTTGGTGTGTTCCAGCGCGCTTTGTAGACTGGGGCAGAGGTTGAGGAAAGAACGGAAGCTGTGTCTTGAACTGGGCATATATAAGAGTAGTCTCCGTAGGCCTCCGATACTCGCTCGAACTGGTCCGAGACGTAGCCCAGTGTGCCAGCCTCTGGCTTTACATCAGGGTAAAGGGTCTCAAGATCGGAAAGATCTTCAGCTGTTAGACCTGGAACGAGAGTCTTCCAGAAGTTGAGATAATCGGTGTTGGTACGTAGATCTTGTGGCGCGAAGGCTTTACCTTCGTCGGTTGTGGAGGAAATCAACATGGGAATGTTGAAAAAGGTGCCGTCTTCGCCGGAGGTTGAACCGCGCTTCTCAAGGAGGGGGCCAGGAGAGACAGGTTGCCAGGGCCAAGTGATATTGTAGTTGTGGGCGTTATACAGCGAAGAGGACATGAACTGGATGTCATCGGCTTCGGCGGCGCGGAGGCACTCCAGGGCAGCAGAGCTGGGTGACAAAGGACAATTCAGATAATCCATAATGTCTGAGACTTGGCGTTGGTAGATAGGGTAGTCAACACCTGGGAAGGCACGCGCAGTTGGCGAACCAGAAGACATGATAACCTTGCTGAACAAAGGCTTTCCGGCATCCTCGTTGTAGTCGTGGAACAGGTGGATGCCAACCGAATGACCACCAGCACTTTGACCACCGAGGGTGATCTGGTCTTTGTCGCCTCCAAAATCGCCGATATACTTTTGCAAGAACTCCAGAGCCATTTTCTGGTCGCGGATACCCAGGTTCAGAAGGCCCTCTTCTTCCATAAACTTGCCTGGCAAGCTGCCCAGCGCACCAAGTCGATACTGAACAGTAACAACCATGAGGGGTTCTGTGCTCTTCTCCACAAACAGCGCTCCGTCAAAACTACGGTGAGAGCCCGATACGAACGATCCTCCGTGCAAGTAGACCATGGATGGCAGTTTCTGGTCCATAGGAATACCTGAGGGTCGGTACACGTTGATGGTAAGACAAGCTTCAGACTGTCCGAGCGAGCTGTACATGTTCTGGAAACATGCCGGCCCAGTAGATGTCGCATCCTTGACACCATCAAAAGGTTCAGGCCATGTTACCGGCATGAACCTCCCCTGACCAACTGGTTGCGTGGAATACTCAACGTTCATCCATGCATCCACTGGTCGACTGAAGGTCTCAGTCATCTTCAAGTTCATGAGCATCTGGGTGCCCTGGAACGACCCATAATCCGGTAAGCTGACAAGAAGCGATCCATCTGGCGTCTCATGGTTCGGAGGACTTGGTCGTTGTGGCGTGCCAGGCTGATATGGTCTGGCATAGGTAAAAGCGCCAAAGTACCAGAACAGCAGGACAGTGCTCCCGGAGAAAATCATGATGATGGCTAATCTTCTCTTCAGCCATCGTGAGGAGAAATGGGTTGCTTTCATAGTATTCTGTTGCTCCCGGGCTTCTGCCGATGGCGGCGCAGGGAGTCGGTCCGCCATAGGTACCGGTAGGCGCTACCGGCAACGGAGAGCGGAGTGACTGCGGGGATAAAAAGCGATGTAACTATTCCTACGGATAATCTATCACGCGCTTACTCTTGTTCGCGCTAGTTTGACGTTGTGATGGGGACGATGTTGGTGTTGAAGGTGAGATAGGGCACGTGGCTGGCGAATAATGACGTTGCCGAGACACTACCGAGTCAAGATATCGGTCGTGCAAGGATGTTTGGAGCCTTTCCGTGAACTTGCACGATGAATTACCTCCGAGGCTTGCCCTCATAAAGGATACCTTCCTTCTCCAAGCCGCTTCACGACACGTCCGAGGAAGCAGTTTTTCTCTTTCATCTCCCGCCCAACGGACGTATCCATGAAGGAATGGATTATACCAAGATACTATGTTAGCTCGGTGCTTGGCT